CCCCCCCCCCCCCACAGGGCTTGCACTCCACTGAAGGCAGAAGCCACCCCGCATCTGTAGCCAGGGAGTGAAATGATCAAGGTAACAGTATCAGCCAGGAATGAAAAGAACACAGGAACCGAAAAAAGTCTTTACATTTTTGGTAAGGAGAAGGGGAGCTGAAATGCAGGCTTCTCCAAAGACAGGGCACTGAAGGCCAAGTGGAGTGTCTGCCTGGAGGTGAGGCTGAGACTACTGGCAGGAGGTTTCAGGACACTCAGGGATGGGAAGGAGCCAGGGCGGGCAGAGATCAGACAGAGAACAGGACAGAAGTGACCTGTAGTGACCCCGGAAGAGAACCTCCACAGTACCACAGGAAATCATATCAACCTGCTCCGCCAGCAGACCCCTTGTGGGGCTGGAGGTGGCGGGAGAGAGTAGCTCCCTCCGCAGGAGGGGAATAAGACCGACCCCTCAGAGGGGTCTGAACGAACTGCTCTCCAGCTAGTCCTCTTCTCCAGAGGCCAAACCGCACCCTCCCCACCTCCTTGGCAGGCAGCTGGGCAGCAGGTTTCTGTTAGGTGCTTGGGGACTGGCTCAAGGCCCTCAGACAGGAGTCTAGAGAACAGCAATGTGCAAACTCCACCTCTGGGCACCCGTCCTGGGTCCAGCCCCTTCTCTCCAGGCATTAGCGGCTGCCCCAGAGACTGTGCGCTTTACTAGCTGGTCAGAATTTCCTTTTGCATATGTGCATCCTGGCTGCCAGGGCTGTGAAAGCTTGGAGCCTCTGCTACCAGGGCACCGCCAAAGAAGAGCTGGTAACGTAAAGGCATCAGTCTTCTCCAGCGAGCAGCTCTAGGGCAACACCTCCAGGTGAAGTTGCTCGGCCTCTGTTCTCTGAGCAGCACGCCAGCTGTAGGGCTGTGCAGCACAATCTCTTTCCTTCGCTGGCCGCCTGGCTCCTGTTCCCAGAGGGACCCACAGATTTTCCTCTGAGCATGGCTTTCTCTGTATCCCTTAAGTTTGGAATTCTATACGCTCTCCAAAGGGCCTCCTTTGCTGTTAGAAATTTGTATTGTTACATTAAATTTACAAATTGAACATAAGGAAAACCAACATTTTTATGACATTGTGGTTTCCTAACCAAGACCCTCCCGTTTGTTCGTGATTTTCTTCATACAAAGCATATACATTTTTGTTATTTTTTCACAGGTATTTTATCTTTTTAAATTGGTACTTTAATGGATTGTTTCTTCCACTAACTTCTGAGTACTTGTGGGAATAAAAAACCCTTAGTCATCTGTATGTGATACTGGACCTCACATTTTTAAGTATTATTTCTAACAGCTTTCAGCTTATTTTCTTGGGTTTTTGCATATAAAAATTAACATAACATAAACAATATTAGCCTTGTACCTTCTCTTTTCTAATGCTCAGACTTTGTTTTTTACACATTTAGTTAGATGATCAAGTAAAAGGAATCTTTGTCTTATTTCTGCCTTTTAATAACTTGAAAATTGGAGATATTGGGAAAATGTCCATACTGAGGGTTTATAGAACTACCGAATTTAGAAATAGGAAAAAAAAGTAAGTGTTCAGGTAACTGTAAATTTATCTTCTTTCTAATTTGTTGTATGATGGTGCATTTCTACTAAAATTTTCTTTGGGTTCAGACTCAGGAGCATGAGCAATACCTTTAAAACATGTTTCCTGATATCCAGTCAGTTTCCATTTGATAGTTTAAACCTGTTTAATTATCTGAAAATAACACACGTTCCCTAAAGAAAATTTGGGATCTCAAGAAAAGTAGAAAAAATAAAACGCAAGTGACTCGGTGTCTGGGGGCTTGGAGGAGTGACCCTCGCCCCAAGCTGTGTGTCCTCCTGCCTGTCAGTCTGCACCCGCAGTGGTGGGCGGCCTACCTGGGTCCCCTGAGCTACTGCTGCCCCTCTCGCTGTCCCCGTCCTCCTGGCCATCTGCATTCTGCTGGGTGTGCTGCAGGCTCAGCTTGTGGCAGACCTCAAAGGCCTGCCCCACGGTCCGGACGATGCGCATAGCTTGGCTCTGGGAAGGAGAGAGAGAGAGAGAGCAGGTGAAGGCCACGGAGACCCTGCCCAAGGACGCACGGAGAGGCTGGGGTGGGAGAGGATGTGCAAGGGGCACGCCGGCAGGAGCCCGCAGAGCCCACAAATGAGAGAGGGGGAAATCTAAGGTCGTTCCAACGTGCTCACACTCACAAAGATGAGTGGAAGACACCTCCCTTCCTGAGATACTCCAAAAACAGCCAACTGACGGACAGCAAATACCCCAGTTCTGGGCTTAGCCCAGTTCCTCCTCCCAGGTTTAACACAAGTGGCCAGTATGCTTCAGAATCCTTTGCCCACCATGAGCAAATGTTCAATGGGTTCATCACATGAAGCAACACAGCCATCTTTCTGTTTTCCTGCTGGCAACAGTGGGCTTCTCCCTGGAGCTCCGGCAGACCAAGGGCTGTGGGGATGGGGGCTGAGAAGCATGGTCCAAATGGCAGAACCAGCTGACAGCCCCAGAGCCCAGCCCCCTGGATGCCACGGGCAGCGAACCAGAGCTGAGGTGAGCCTTCCCGGTCTGCTCTGAAGACGTCACTCATTCGGATCTAGTCTTTGACCTTTTCCTGCTACTTAACCTCTTCCTGTAACAGCCCAGGGACTGAGCCTGGCCCTGGCTCTCAGGACCCGCTGCTCAGCGAGGGGAGGCGGACGCAGGGCAAGGAAGCCTGCCGCTGAGCGTCTGGCCCACGCAGGTGTAGGAAGGACCTCACGCAAGGTTTCCGGGGCATGGCCTCCACAGTGGACAACTGACCGCAGCCTGGTCATCAGCCAGTGTTTCTTTTTTTCCAAGGACGAAGAATGAATCCAATGGCAGCTCTGAGATAGGAGTTCAGGCTGGACGCTCAGCTCACCGCTCCACTGACCCCCGTGGTCCCCGCACATGCCACCACCGCACACCACACTTTATTTAACTATGGCTGTCACCCCACTCGTGACTCTCATCACATTTTGGAGGATCTGGCTTCAGGTCAGCTGTGACCACCTAGTGACCCCACACGATCTCAGAGGCGACTGCTCGATCTGCACCGAAGGTGAGGAGCAGCAGGCGCCAGTCTTACACGAGAAGGCCCCACCTTTCCCATTCCCAAAATACACGAAGACGTGTGATCGAGAGGGCGCAGTCCCTACCCAAGTGGGGCCATGCACAGCCCGGGTTTTGCCATCTCCCCTGGCCGTCAGGCTGTGCTCTGGTCAGAGGGCTGAACCAGAAGCTCAACTCTCTGAAGAAAAAGGAGACTCGATTCTTCCCCTGGGCCTCCTGGGATCTTCCGTTGCTGATTCCCTTTGTGAGGTTGAGAGCAGACTGCCTATCGTTCAGCCTTTACGGCAAAGCTCATGACCAGTTCACAAACCGCAAACAAGCCCCGAAAGTCAGAGAAGGGAGAGGGGAGTGGCTGTGTGTGATGGACACGCAAGTGACTCGGTGTCTGGGGGCTTGGAGGCAGAGTGTCGGTAGGCAGAGCACAGCACTTCTGCGGTTTGTTGCACTCATTTATCCTTTCCTCCTCTTTAGGGTAAAGGCGCTCTACTTTCAGTCACAGTAAAGGACACAGTCCTTGGTTTACGAAGGGCCCTCTGCACCTGAGTATGCAACCAAGCTACCCTACTTGTTCTTCAGCAGGACTACATACACATCAAAGACCTGCCCTTCCCACGCACCCCTCCAGGAGCTAAAAGGGGCGTTGCTGCTCAGCGAGGGGAGGCGGACGCAGGGCAAGGAAGCCTGCCGCTGAGCGTCTGGCCCACGCAGGTGTAGGAAGGACCTCACGCAAGGTTTCCGGGGCATGGCCTCCACAGTGGACAACTGACCGCAGCCTGGTCATCAGCCAGTGTTTCTTTTTTTCCAAGGACGAAGAATGAATCCAATGGCAGCTCTGAGATAGGAGTTCAGGCTGGACGCTCAGCTCACCGCTCCACTGACCCCCGTGGTCCCCGCACATGCCACCACCGCACACCACACTTTATTTAACTATGGCTGTCACCCCACTCGTGACTCTCATCACATTTTGGAGGATCTGGCTTCAGGTCAGCTGTGACCACCTAGTGACCCCACACGATCTCAGAGGCGACTGCTCGATCTGCACCGAAGGTGAGGAGCAGCAGGCGCCAGTCTTACACGAGAAGGCCCCACCTTTCCCATTCCCAAAATACACGAAGACGTGTGATCGAGAGGGCGCAGTCCCTACCCAAGTGGGGCCATGCACAGCCCGGGTTTTGCCATCTCCCCTGGCCGTCAGGCTGTGCTCTGGTCAGAGGGCTGAACCAGAAGCTCAACTCTCTGAAGAAAAAGGAGACTCGATTCTTCCCCTGGGCCTCCTGGGATCTTCCGTTGCTGATTCCCTTTGTGAGGTTGAGAGCAGACTGCCTATCGTTCAGCCTTTACGGCAAAGCTCATGACCAGTTCACAAACCGCAAACAAGCCCCGAAAGTCAGAGAAGGGAGAGGGGAGTGGCTGTGTGTGATGGACACGCAAGTGACTCGGTGTCTGGGGGCTTGGAGGCAGAGTGTCGGTAGGCAGAGCACAGCACTTCTGCGGTTTGTTGCACTCATTTATCCTTTCCTCCTCTTTAGGGTGAAGGCGCTCTACTTTCAGTCACAGTAAAGGACACAGTCCTTGGTTTACGAAGGGCCCTCTGCACCTGAGTATGCAACCAAGCTACCCTACTTGTTCTTCAGCAGGACTACATACACATCAAAGACCTGCCCTTCCCACGCACCCCTCCAGGAGCTAAAAGGGGCGTGGTGGCTCCCAATTTTACCCCAAAGTGTTTATGTGAGTTTAGATGCCCCTTGACCTCTAAGCTCTCCTTCCTTCACCAGGGAAAAGTCTACTTTTAGAAAATTCTACGGAAGGCCCTTGTGAGGGGGGAAGTTCCTTGAAGGTGGCTCGCAGGGTCCACCTGCACCTGGCAGGGGCTGTTCCCCCCCACCACTGGCGCCATGTGCCTTCTGCATAGCCTGGCCGCCTGCTAGGCCTCCTCACTCAGAGACGTGGCCAAGAAAACTGGTTCTGCCTGACCCCTTGGAATGCAGGAATTACGTGCCAGGACTTAATTGTTAATAAGCCATGTCTAAACCGAAGGAGGAGAACTGTGAGGAAAAGCTTTAAAAAAGAGCCCCTTCCCTTGGTCCCCGTTGCGTCTCATGACCATAAACGGGCCTTTGGAAATCACGGGATTGTTAAAGATGTGCCCGCAGGTACACAGCAGAGCAAGCACACAAGTGGTGCTAGGCTGGGACGACAGTTTCTTCCAGCTCCGTGACCTGGCCATTCTCTGGAATTCGCCAGATTTTTTTTTAAAGCATCATTATACTGCGTTATTTCTGTACAAATCCAGTTTAGTTTAACTCAAGCCCCTGAAAAGTACTTGGCCACGTGGATCAAGTCTTCCTGTCCAAAGCCATTTTCTATTAGCAATCCCGAAGCACCTGTGGGCTGAGAGTTGTTTAGATTTGGCCAGATAGGGCTGTGAGGCTTCCAAAGCTGGGAAGGACTGTCTAACTTCAGAGCGGCTCTCAGCCGCACGAGGCAATTTTGTGAAATAGGGCTAGAGAGGAAGCCGTCTTAGAACTCCACGCCACTTATCCTCACAGCACAGAAATGCTTCTTTAAGCCATCTACTTACTCATGTTGACAAAGCCCCCTCCCCACCACCTCAATCCAGCACAGAAGTCAAGAGCAGCAGAGAGCTCTTCTCTGCAGCGTGTCTAATGCGGGTACCAACTACATGCCTACCGGGGCGTCAACACTGAGGAATTGCTGCAAATCATGAAAACAACACTACATTCTCAGCGAGACTGGGCTGTCCCCTCAAAAGCAGACAGAAGTCTGCAGTGGCAGCTTTAGGAAGGTAGAAATCTAACCGTGGATCCCTATATTTCACGGGTCTACAGAGAAATTATAGTCCATCATGATGTGATTTTCTGCTCTCATTTTAGGGGACCTTGTGGTTGGCTGGGAATCTTTTGAGTGATATACACATGCAAAGAATGTCAATCACTTAGTCTTACTCTGCAGCTAATCTAATAGATAACCTTGAGAACTATTTTGAATTTCACTGCCCTGGAAAAGGCTCTATTTCACAAGTCATAGGCATGATTAAAGAGAGTCTCTAGAGAAGTATGGAACATGCAGGGTTTAAGCTCCAAATGCAAGGTTTGCCATGCACGAAGATGATGATGACACCCGAGATGATGGAGTGGCAGCAGGACAGAAAGAAGAGAAGGGCAGGTACCCTCCTGTAAACAGGGGTCTTTATCAGTTCAACTCTGTCCTCTAGCTTACGGTTTCCCCTCAACTCTGTGTTTTCTGAGCACTTGAGGCCTGGCTGGCACATGCTTCTGATTTCTAGGGAACCAAAGTCCAATGAGTCAGTTCTAGGACAGCTCCCACCAGGTGCACAGTTCTTCTTGTCTATCACGGCAGTCAAGTATAGTGCCTTTATCTTGACTCTAACTGCCACAGAATCTCAGCGAAAATAGAACCTTTTTTTGAAACTCAGTAAAAGATTTAAGCTTATATCAAATGACTGCCATCTAGAGAATTCACAATCCTGAAGCAAGAAAATATATTTGGACTTCTACACAAGGAAGAGCCACGGTGGTCTGGGTCTGAGTAGGAGATGGGTTAGGTTTCTCTCCAATAGGTTACCTAATGGCCTTGATCACAACATTTGATTGACAGAGTGCCTTGGACACCAGAATATCGCTATGAGGAGAGCTTACTTTCAAAGTGGCTATGACTTTCAATGTTGACAGAAGATAGTGTATCGGGGAATTTCCAATAGACTGGGTTTTTCCTTGTCCTCTGCTAGTGCACAAACCACAGCACCACAGAGAAAAGAAGGCTGAGTTATAACCCCAAGGTCATCAGTAACCAGCTAGGTGACCACGGGCAGCTTAATTCACCTTTTCAGGTACTGATTTCCTAAACAAAGAGGATTGGACTAGACTGAGTTCTGAGGTCTGTGATTCTGTATTTCCACTTCCCAACATAACCCCACCCCAAAATTTAAGATATAAAAAGACAAGCTCTCTCCCTAAATGTAGGACCCGTCTCTCTCCCCTGTCCTCAGCTGGGCCAGGCAAGTGGCTTGTTCTGTAGCACATGAGTGTCCTCATCATTCGAAATCCATGGCAAGCTCTCAAGGACAGTTGAACTTCTCAGCTGCTGGCCCCTCATGTGACAGTGACAGCATTAAAAGAGGAAATGACTTCTCTTAACCCAAACCGATGAGCTGGGGTTGCAAGCAAAATGATTCCGAGGAGCTGCTCGTAAAGATAATGGGCAGATTCCCGCCACCCCTGTCAACCGCCAACACTCCGTGTATTTTCGCACTGATTGTACAGTCACACTTGATCAGGGCCCACAGCCACGGCCTCCTGGGGCTAGGAGAAAGTGACAGAAGGGCACAGCCACGCCACAGGAGAAGTCAGCGGTCACACAGGAAGCGTCACGAGAGGCTAAAGGCCTTGCAAACAAACACCCGAGGGGGGGCAGCAGGTGCTCGCTGTGTCAGGTGGAAGGGCCTCCACTGGGTGCTCTGGGCGAGGAGGAAACCTACTTCACCCCTCCTTCCCAGCTCTGACAGTGCTGGGGGACAGCCCCCCACCCCAATCCCGGCCAACCTTCCCCATCACACAGAACTTGTTCCCTGAAGATCGGATTGCTTGGCACAAAATGATCAGCAACCCCGGGATGCCTCTCATCTCATCTTCCGGCTGGAGACGCTCAAGTCCAGAGAAATTCCTGCATTCTTCACAAGTCTCATGGAACAGAGCTCTGGACTAGAAGTAGGAAGCTAGGTTCTGATCTCAGTGGCGCTGCTGACCCACTGCGTGCCCAACGGCACCTTACTTCCCCGCCCTCTTTCCTTCACCAACTACAAAACACAGTCAGTAGGAGACATAAGGATACTAGGAGAAAAAAGGAAAATCTATGTCAAAGTGACCCGGGCCGTTTCGAGTCAAGGAACTCTTCACACTCAAGCGATGATGATGGGAGAACCTGGCTACACACAGGCTTGAAGAGCACGGCCAGTCCTTCACTGAGCACTTCCTGATGAGAAGAGCGCCCCGCGGAGGTTAAGAATGGGAGCTCTGTTGTGATGCCATCTCTCGCTGCGAGCTGTTTCTTAAGCCTCCGTTTTTCCATCTATAAAATGAAGAGCATAACACTGCCCCCCTCACAGGCCCCCTGGGGAAGGAAAGGTGGTAATTCACATAAAGAGTTTAGAACAGTCGCAGGCACACAGCAAGTAACCAAAACATCAGATAACCTGATTCAACACAAGCTGGAAACCGGGTAGTCTAGAGCGCTGTGAGTAGCAGGCAGGGTGCTATCTAGCTTCAGATGAGAGCCCAGCTAAAAAACCCAGCTCAGGAGCAAACCCGGGAGGGGGGGGGGCTGGGGGGGGAGCACCACACTGGCTGCACGTGTGGGTGACCAAAGGCAGAGCTGAAGTGCGCAGTGACAGCTGTGCTGGGGGTGACATACAGGGAGGCCCTCTGCCCACAAGAAACCACCCTGTTCCCCATGACGGACGGAGGGGTGAGGATGCCCCCCACGTGAGAAGCCCGTCGGAAAATGTGCCATGAGCATGCATCCGGGGCACACGATGTGGTGCAAACAGCTAAAACCGAAGCCCTGGAGAGGAGCTCATACAAGAATTCCCTAGGCCTCGATCAGCACGAGGGCTCCAGGGAACACCCAGGCCTGCTGGATCTCCCTGCTGACCTGCAGCCACCCAGAAACACCCCGCCGGACATTCCCTCAGTGCACAGAGTCTACACCTCACCTCCTAAGTATTCTTACAAGTTGCCAGTGAAAACTCCTTCTCAAGCCACCTGCTATCTCCCCAAACCAGAAGTGCTTTACGCAGGAAGAAATCACCATATCTGGAGGCTGACCAGGGTAAGCGCGCAAAGATTCTAGACATGTTCCCCACCCTCCCCACTTCTGCTTCCTTGGCCCAACAATCCACTTCTCTTTCTTGGCTTGGAAACCAGTCCTTCCACCTACAGCTGGGCAGCGATGGGGCTCCCAGCCCAGGCTGTCTGGAAACAATTCCTTCAGTTGCATGGCTGCAGGCCAGCCAAGGGCCTGAGAACCAGCTCAGTCTCAGTAGGTGAGGGTGAAAGGGATGGAGAAGATAGAAGAGCCAGTGACCCGAATTAGCTTGAGAGCTTTGAGACCTGGAAAAAAAAATACCAGTGAACCAGACGACTACTTTTTCACTGGGAAATACGAACTTAATTCTGTGCTCCCCCCAGGATCAATGCTTCCAGTGGGCATTGTTCTCAGACTCAGATTTTGGCAGAACTGGATGACCCCACTGTGTCTCTGCTGCTATACTAGAGCTGATGGCAAAGCAAATGGAATGATCCCCTTCACCCCCGGTTTCCTGCTCAGAGTTCTTTTGTTCTGCACGCCTCTCCAATCCCAGCCAGTGCCGGCTCATGGGAACCGCGACGAGTCATTTAATCTCTCTGAGCGTCAGTGTACTCATCTGTAAACCTAGTGGTGAAAATTACCTGTCCCCAACTTCATACAGGATGCATTAGTAAATTACAGTGTGCCAGTTGTAACTTCAAAAAATCTGAAGTCCATGTGATTCAGTTACTGGACAAAACTAAAGTCACATGTACTCAAAATGAATTAAATGAATAGAGCGCTCAAAATGAATTCAAAGGGAATGCCCGTCTTTAGCCGCATCTGTCAAAGACCTTTGCGGATAACCCAACTCATACTCTCAGGGACACTGCACTCCCCCTCCCCTCCCCTCCCCTGCCCACGTCCCCGCACCTCGAAGCTGCCTAAGAGCCTTTGCTCCCCAGCCTTCTGCCGTTTCTTCCTTTCCCTCCCACTCCTCCTCTTTCTTTTGGTTCTTAATTTGCAGCTCCACTTAGCCCCACGGACCCCCGCTTTTTTTTTTCAACTGTACTCGTATTTAGAAGTGAAGTCGGTCAACTTGCCGCCGTTTGCCTTCTACTCTTCTAGTTCTGGCTCTTTCCATCCAATTCCACGATTTGCATTAAAAAGCCTGGGAACAGGTGGATAGGGGCACAGATCTCCCTGCAGGAAGAGGCTTGATCATCAAAGTAGAATCTTCTCTGCAGAGCTAGGGGGGGGGGACCGTAAATATGTATCATAAATATTGACCCTGTCGTGTATTATCCTGGCTTGACAAGGCGCGGGCCTATTAAAGATGCCCCAGGGCATAACATGTCACACAGGAGTGCGGCACTGGTCCCCGCAGAAAGCCAGGCTCAGCGGTTTGTGTCTGCAGTGGTGGACCTGTGCGGAACCTGAGAGGCACGCAGTGTTTTTGTCCGGAGTCTCTCCTGCAGAAAAATAGTCTTTGTCATACTAACACATAGTACATGGAAAACATGATTCCGTGGCCCAAGGTGGCCTAAGAAACACTGGGTTAAACAAAGTTAAAGGCGTTGCTCTGACTTTAGGACTTGCTGCAAATTTAAACAGGCTCATGTGCCAACAGCTGGGGGGAGGAGTTCACGTTTTATGGGAAACATTTTGGGCAATGCTGATCCTGACGCCTCCTCCTTGTCTTAGAGACAAGGAAGCTGAGGCCCATGGCAGGCAGTGCCCCAGATAACAAACACCCTGCAGGGTTTTAGCGAACAGGAAGAACTAGAGAAAAAAACAACAACAAAAAACAAAAACAAAAAAAAATTAGAGCTTTCCCAAAGCCTGGTTTGGTGTGTCAGGCCCCTGGAAGAATGACAGAGGGCGTGCATGCCTCGCCAGAGTCGCAAAAGGTGATTTCCTCAAGCATCAAGGCTGCGTCACCAAAACAGCCATCGGCACAACCAACGTCCCACACAGTCTAAACTGGATCCCACAGGTCAGCCTGTGGACAGGACGCAAGGCCTCATCAGCGCACGTCCATGCTTCTCTCCTGCCGCACACCAAGGCGGGCGGCTGTCCTGTGCGCCCGTGCGCTCCCCATCCAGAGCCCTTACCCAGTGGCTGAGATCTGTCCACGTGTCCGCATGTCGCTAAGGACAACGTTTAGATGACACTAAGAGAATTCCACTACACAGGAGCAGTGACAGACCACCGATGTCAGAGGGAAATTAAAGATGACCGATGACTGCCCCTTTACCTTCTTCTTGGATTTAAAGACGTTACACCTGAAGACATTGCTGGCACCATCTCGAGCGATATAGCTGAAGATCTTCAAGTCTTGGGAATCGTGAGAGACGTAGAAGATCCTACAGGAAGAGCAACAGAAAAATGCACTGAAAATAGCAGTATGTTCAAATCTCCAACAGGGAAACCTCTGCTTCGGGGCAGCCTGGGCACGGAGCTCCCTCAAGTCACATTCCAGGGAAGGCCTTCTCCCCGTGAATGCTACAATGCAGGTGGCACTTTCAGTGGCTCCCTAAGCACTGACGCCCAGTGAGTGGCCTCCGCTCTGGAAGGGGGGCGGGGACAGGACACAGACCCCACACTAGGCTAGACAGCAAATCTGTCCTGGTAACCTGGGTGTTAGGAGGAAAAACTGTTCCCTTCCCTTAGCAGGGCAATACACCGGCACCTAATCCAGGGAAATGCAGCAGTCTCCTGACACCCGTTCAGCTATCCCCAAATAAGGAGCCTTGGGCGCCAGTGGTGCTGACCACGTTAGGAGAAACGCCTCACCACCACGGGTCCCTGTGGTAGTGGAGGTGACATCAGTGCCCGTCCCCCTCCATCAGGCCCATGGCCCCCGTGTATTCATTCTGCCATGCAGCCAGTCCCCGAGTCCACGCAGTGGGCAGCCACTATCCCAGCAGCAAGGGGAACAGCGGTAAAGTCCCCAGGCTCACGGAGCTCACACGCATGAGGCAGTGATAAACAAATGGAAAACGAGCACTACACAGAGAAACAAGGCAGAGCAAGGCCAGAGGATGTTGGGGGCCATTCAGGGCAGTGGCCAGCAGGAAGACTGCACCACAGGCAGAGACCTTACAGAATGGCGCGAGGGAGCCAGGCACAGGACTGTGGGGCACAGGGGCTGCAGGAAGTGGGGACAGCATGTTTAAAAGCCCTGTGGTGTTCCAAAGGCGCCTGGCGCATTCACGGCATGGCCCATATGGAGTGAGTGTGGTCAGCGACGGGCCAGAGATGCAGCCAGGGGCCAGGATACGGGAGGGCATCACGGTCAGGGTTTGCGCTCCAAGCAAGATGAGGGACCCACCATCAGAGGCTCCTGAGCAGGGAACTGACTTCCCGACGCTTGACACTAAAGGATCACTCTGGCTGCTGGGGGCCGGGGGGCAGGAGCGGAGGCAGAGGGCAAGGCTGGGGAACGGGGAAAATAGTAAGCAAGTCCCTATCGGCTGGCACTTAAGTGGGCCTGGGACAGGGCACCACAGGAGCCACAGGTCTGGGCGCTGTCAGCACGGGGCATGGGAGGGGCCTACGGGCAGTGCCTCAGCAGAACCGGTTTGGGGCAATCCAAGGAGTGTTGCCCTGATACACCTTCCAGGGGCACGTCATTTCCATAAAACATCTTTTCCTCACTAACAACAGTGGTGACTTCCACCCAAGGGTTTAACAGGCCTGCCCTGTCCTAGTGCCGGTCAGTCCTGTGTAGTGGAAAGAGAACAGGATTTAGCGTTGTATCCACAACTTTGTCACTTACTATGAAGTCAATCATGTAAGCCTCAGAGGCTCGGTGTTGTCATCTGTAAAATGGGTCTATTGACAGTCACATCTTGCAGGGTTACTGGGAAGACAAATGACGAGGCAAGTGTCTTTCCACTTCTTACCCACATAACCTCGAAATAGTCTCTTGGTGTCTTTTTCCTGAGATTCTCATCAAGGACCCCAAGAAGCCTGGAGGGACAGTCAAAAGGAAAGTGGATACAGAGAGAACAGTCCGAGGAGGAACCCCACGTTCACCCTGGGCCCCCCCGTTTCTCTGAATGCTGCCGGGAGTCATTTCAGTACATGGCACACATCTACCACCTCTAAACGACACTGACATAAAGGTGACCTGCTTACTTAAGGTGGCTTCCAAGAAAGCTAATCTAATGTCACTGAGCCCAGAAAAGTCCTCTGTGCTTCTAATGACCCCAAAGTGGCCTCCTAACATGGAAGGGACCAGCCAACAACTGGTCCTGCCTGAGCTCCAGACCCACCAGCCAGGCCTTCCAGATACACTTTCCTGAAGGTGTCTCAAGCTGCTCAGGGGCGACATGCCCCTGCTTGAATTCACCATCTTCCCCATTTTCTCCAAGCAAATGTGGCCTTCCTTCTCCCAAGCCCCATCTCGACGAGGGGTACCATACCCCCTCAGGCCGGGAACCCGGGCAGTACCCCTGACTCAGGACTAAGTTCTTGGCAGCCCACCACCCCAGTCTCTGAATGCTTTTTTCTTCAACTCTGTGGCACTGTTTTGGTCCTACTTTTCTCCTGGATTTCTGCAACCCGTCTAGTGTGTCTGCTTCCTAGCTCACCCACTGCCAACCCTTCTCTACTTTCCTAGCCAAGTGGTATTTTTAAAAACACAAACCACATCCTTTTATTTCCCTTTAAAAACATTCAAAGGCTTCCTGCTGCCCTAGGGTCAAGTCCAAACTCGTCAGCACGCAGCATCCTCCTTTCTGCTTTTGTCTCTCTCGAGAGAGTCCTGACCTAACGGCCTTTCAGAACTAATGACGTACATCTCCTGTGTCTGCCACCGCCGGACACCACTGGCTCCTCAGGGCTCGGTTCTGAGCAGCCTTCCCTGCCCGCCCCTCCGCCGAGTTGGAGCTGCCGAGCCCCTGGGCTCACCCATCCCAGCGCGTGTATGTTACCCTATGATGTTTATGCTGGAGTGCCTTGAAGGAGTAAGAACCACATCCCAGCATCCCTGGTGCCAGCACGGCAGGCGGCACACAGAGGCTCCTGTGCCTGCCCGCGAGGGAAGGACACGTCCCCGCCGCTGTCGGTGAGCACCCACGGCACGTCTGCCTGCCCCTTCATCTTCCTCTCAGGAAGTCAGGTCCGCTTAGTTCAGATTCATCACATGCTAAACTCCTTTGACTTTTGGGGTTTTTAATTTATTATTATGCAATACCCTAGGACTGGGAACTGTATTTAAAACTGATAGAGCAGATATGAATGCTGACTGGCATGCCAGCAGGGCGCAGAGATGTGGAAGGCAGCCAAGAACACAGCCAGCGAAGCCTCGCCCTCCCTTGATAAACAAAGCATTTGTTCAGCAAATACGATGACCCCTTGTGTGTGGACACAGCCGCGCTCTTTGGAGATTGTTATGTCTGAGTTCAGAAACCCAATGTGTCGTTGTTAAATGGAAATGGCCTCCAGCTAACCAAAAACTCCACTGATTGAAGCCTAGCAAAGCGTCCACAAGCACAACAAGCAGGAGAAAGTTTTTCCAAGTGACCTCATTCGCCAACACATTAATACATCAACAAATTCAGGCCTCAGGTCCAAACTTCCAGAGTTTGAAATACACTCCAAGACCCTTATTTCTTCATTCCTTGGATTTTGTAAGAACTGTGATGGAATGCCCTGGGGGTGGCGGTGGGAGGGGAAAGAATAACACGAGAGACTTCACTTTCCTTCTGTCTTCTTTCCTGAAGTCCAGCGCAATTCATTTTCCCTCCCAAAACGCATCTCAGTTTTCTCAACCTTGAATATAATTATCAAAGGCAGGACAACATAGTTCACACAGTGCTCACGATGGTCACTAAGGTTTTGTCAGGATTTTGTTCCCCCTTCAAATTTCTTAAGATTTCTTGTTTTTATTTCAAAATACGCATGGAATTACAAATTTCACTTACTCATAGACTTGTTATGATTTAAAGCCACAGCAATAAACTCTTCTGCAGATCCTTATGTCCATAAATGACTGGCATATAAACAATACCTTGGAGAAACTGGACAGGGGTTTATCATCATGTTACAGTTCAGGCTGACAGTGATAAATAACCACCGGGCCCGCCACCAACACCAGTTTCCTCCACAATTAATCTGAAGATAAGCTTGTTTCTCTTAGGAGCACAGAAAAAAATGTAAGAGGGTAGAAAAAACAGTATGGTCATCAGACAGATATGAATGCCGCCTGGCACAGTGACAGAGCTCACCCAGGATCTGTCCATGATGGGCAAGTCCCTCCCTGAGACAGTGCCCACTCCCCTTTATGGGAGCCTCTAATTACTTGAAAATTTTCCTTTATGTTGATTAGAAATCTGCCAACAGGAATGCAATAGAGGGAAACAGTGGGAAATCCTGGCCCTGGTGCAGGACAGACCTGGATTTTAGACCCAGGCCCTGCCGCTTCCCAGCTGGGAGATCCCAGTCATCCTCTCCTTTGGTTCGTTGCCCGTTAGACCGCCGATCGCAGCACTGACTGTACCGCACGGACAGGGTTTGAAAAATAAACGCGTGCAGAGATCAGCTTATCGCAGGTGGCTTAATAGATGGCAGCTGCTCTTAGGCTGCCGCACACTGCCCTCCTGCCCGACTTCTAGCCTTTGGGGCCTCCGAGAACAAGGCCAATCGTTCTTCCAATGGCAACCCTTTGAGTATTTGGAAACCACCACTGGGTTTATATTTACTCCTCTCATTTTTCAAGTGACACACGTCCTCTTCCTTCAATGTTACCACACTGGCCCATTTTCCAGATGCCTTATTTCTCTGGCAGGTCTGTACTGTGGAAAGAGCATGGGCTTTGGGATGAGAAGGATCTGGATTCAAGTCTTAGCTTTGACCTTCCTAGCTGGTAACCTTAGGCAAACTATTCAGCTGACATAAGCCCTTTCTTTCTTCAGCTAAGATATACTTCATAGTATTATTAACACACACACACCACATTCAACATGACCCCTGACACATGGTGAGTTGCTAGCTCAGTAAACAATGAGCTCCATTTTTCTTGTTAGTATTTTATGTACGTACCCCAAGTTTCCAACAACTCTTTAAACACAGTTCAAAGAACTGAACGCACGTCTCTAGAGGGATGTAAACATCACAGAGTATATTTGGGTGACTATTTTCTATGCCTTAGAACTGAATCTGCATCAGAGCATCTCTATTTTTTTATTTAGTTACAGCCTCTCACTGCTGGGTTCACAATGTGGTCAACTCAGACCACAGATGCAAAGCTAATTTGCATAACTGCTCCCAAGGCAGATTCTCTAAGCATACCTGGGCAACTGGCTTTTGGGACTGGCCCCAAGTGATCCATATTTCCTTTTCCAAGACTGTTTAATGA